CGACTGCCATAGCTAATTTTTCTATGGTAGGGTATCTAGTTTCGGCGTCTATCAGACTTTTGCTTGTGTAATAGACGGGTCTTTGCTCATTTTGCTCTTCTCGTACCAGCACGCCGCTAACTGCAGCGGTTGATACGGCGAGGTATAGGTACAGTGGTTCTCCTGTTACTAGTTTGGATAGGATCGGAGGTTCGGAGAGGTAAGCTTTCAGTTGTTTGAAGGTTTCCTTGCATTTCTCATCCCACAAGAACTTCTTATTATTTTTTAGAAGTTTGTAGAACGGGAGACATTTATCTGTGGACTTGGATATGAATCGATTCAGATCTGCGATTCGTCCAGTCAATCTTTGCACCTCCATGGCTGTCTTAGGAGTCAGCATCTCCAGGAAATTCGCTATTTGTTTCGGGTTAGCTTCGATACCTCTTTCGGTTACGAGGTAACCGAGAAACTCGCCCGAGGGCACCCTGAAAGTGCATTTTGCGGGGTTGAGTTTCATATCGTATTTGTTGAGGATATCGAAGCATTCTTTTAGGTGGGAGATGTGATTTTCCCCAGCTGAAGATTTAACCAGCATTTCATCGATGTATACCTCCATGGTTTTTCCGAGCTGTCCGGCGAACATTTTCTCCACGAGCCTTTGGTAGGTAGCTCCTGCGTTTTTTAATCCGAATGGCATTACCATGTAACAATAGGTTCCGCGTTTGGTTATGAATGCAGTTTTTTCTTGGTCTTCAGGGTTCATCATGATTTGATTATACCCCGAGAAGGCATCCATAAAGGACAGAAGCTGATGGCCAGCTGTCGCTTCAACGAGGCGATTGATGTGAGGTAACGGGAAGCTGTCTTTAGGACAAGCCTTGTTTAGGTCGGTGAAGTCTACACAGATTCTCCACTTCCCGTTTTTCTTTTTAACTACTACGGGGTTAGCCAACCAATCGGGGTAATGCACTTCGGGAATGGACCCTGCTTTCGTAAGTCGATCGACTTCGTCGTTGACGGCTTTAGCTTTTTCGAGGCCCAGCTTACGACGCTTTTTTTTGATCGGTTTGAAAGTAGGGTCTACATTGAGCTTATGAGTGGTGACGTTTGGGTCTATACCCTTCATGTCGCTGGTGGTCCATGCAAACGTTTTGACGTTGCTTTTCAGGAAGTCAATTAGCTCCTTTTTAGTTTCGAGAGGTAGCTCTGATCCTATGTTCACTTGTTTCTCAGGATCAGAGTCGTCGATGCCAACTCGTTCGGTTAGGTTCCTAGGGGGACCCCGAATATTTTGTTGCATCTCTCGACCTTCCTGGATCTGTAATTGCTATTGGGGTGATTCCTTGAGGATTCCGAATCCTCCCAAATAGCATATCCTGGAGATTTTCTTGCTACCTCGTACGGTGGTTATTCCTTCGGGTGTCGGAAATTTCACGCATTGTGATAAGTGGAAGCTACTACTTTCATCTTATAGATCCAGGGTCTTCCTAGGATTGCGTGAAATGGAGAAGGTCTGTCGATAACTTCGAAATTGGTCATTTTCATAATTCCGCCAGCTATGACCGGAAGCTTGATGGTTCCCAGGGAGGTAACTGTTTCTCCGGAGAAGCCTACGAGGTTAACTTTCTGACCAATAATTTCGTAGTAATCTATTTCCATCCCTTTCGGGGCGTTATAGAAAATAAGGTCGACAGAGCTCCCGGTGTCTACCATCAGCTTAGTCACTTCGTAGCCTGTGATGTTCAGAGTGACGATTAACGCGTCATCGCGAGGCCTGTCGAGGTCTGATGTCTCGCTCTACCAAAAAGAAATCTTAGTATTGGATTTAGGGTTGGGAGGCTTAGACTGAGCATTGGACACAACTTTCCGTACGTGACTTTTGATGGAATTAATGGAGTCTTGACATATATCGGAACCTCCGAGGATATAATCCACCCTCGAACTGGGGATCGATTGAGGTGGTGGTTTGCTCAGAAGGGCCTCGATTTGTAGACTTTTTCCCTGGGTGAATTTCCCAAGAATCATGTCAACTCTTTTCTTGGGAGCTGGCGGTGGCGAGTCTGTCTCCTTCTCATGTGACCTTTCGCGTTTCAGAGAGGTATCTCTGGGACCTCTTTTCTGAGTTCCACGTCTTTTAGCTCTCCAGCTACAAATTTAGTTGCCAACTGCCGTTGGAGGTCCCAACACTCTTCAGTTGAATGTCCTTTTCGATCGTGATAAGACAGTGTTTGTTCTCATCATAGCCCTTCGACCAGGGGGTTTTGCTTGTCGCGGCAACAGGTTTTTCTGTTGGGCTTCTTTGATTGCATAAGAATGCTCTCCCTGGGTCTGATTGTTTTGGAAGATCCCCTTTTTAAGGGGTCATTTTGCTTCCACGGCGTCATCTTTCAGGTGATTCTGAGATTTCTTATGGATTTTATCAAGTGCGGCTGTTTACTCTTCCAAGGTAATATATCTGGATGCTTTATGAAGAGCATCGTCGATAGTTGGGGGAGGATTGCGCGTTAGCTCCGACCAGAATTCCGATTTGTACCAGAGACCTCTTCTAAGGGCCTCGATAGCAACTTGATTGTTGGGATTCGAGAGCTTAGTTCTTACTGCTCTGAATTTCTCGATGTAGACCCGTAACGAGTCTCCCATTCCTTGTCTGATTTTCCAGAGGTCAGCCTCGGAAGCTTGCTTGAGGATATGGGTCGAATACTGCTTCATAAAGGCATTGGTCAGCTGGTAGAAATTGTCTATTGAGTTCGGCTCGAGGCCGGAAAACCATTCGAGAGCTGTTCCGACCAGATTTTCGGCGAATGTTCTGCAGTAACCTGCCTCACATTCCTTTCTCGTAAAATGAGCTTTCACGATAGCTAATCGGAAGGCTCTCAAATGAGCCTTAGGATTTTAGGTCCCATCATACTCGGGAATCCTAATTTTCCGGGTATCCCTTATGTAAGAGCTAGCGATTCTGTCCGTGAATGGGGTTTCACGGGTTACCTCAATCAAACTCTCAATTTTGGGAGCTGAGCTCATCGTTTTGTGAACTTGAGCATTCAACTTTTGGAGAGCTGCATGAGTTTTCTTCATATATCTGTGAATAGCCTTAGGTCCCTCTAGAGGAAGGACAATTGGGTCATTATTAGGTACCTGGCGAACAGGTTCCTGGCGGAGTCGAGTTTGGTCATTCTTCCAGGCAGACGCCTGGCTAAATTGCTCACTACCTCTTGGGTTATTTTGATGTGTGTCACCAGTGGGGTGAGCTGCGGGGTCAGCTTCCGCCCTTTAATGAGCGCCCAGATTCAGGGTTACATTCCTAGTCCGATACTGAAGCCGATGTTCTTCCCCTAGAAGGAAAGGATATTCCTTCTCCGGACCTGAAAACAGGTGGAGGAGGTGGCAAGCGTGTGCTCTGGTCAGTAACCCGATCGAGCATAGAGCTGGTTGTCGCTATGTTACTTCCCATAGCGCTAGTTACATGTGGCTTAAATGCGGGAGCTGTTCCAGCATAGGGTGTCTGGAGAACAGGTCCCTGCCTATCTGGAGCAGTGCTCTTCAAATCGTTGCTGCTGAGCAGTTAGTTGTTGCAACATGCGTTCATTCTCTTGAGCTTTGTCTACTAACTGCACCATCATTCGACGGATCTCAGATAGCTGAGCCTCCGATTGATTCGGAGCGGGTTGACGCTGAGGGTTCTTGGGGGCTGTTACCTCGGAGCTGTTTCCACTGGAGGACCTTGGGTTAGTTATTCAAGTGGTGGTCTAGTTCGGTTGAGCACTAGCCGGAGGCTGTTGCTCAGATCGGTGATCAGCGTGTCGAGGCTCCGGGACCTGGAGACTGGAGTCTATTCCATTTGGTGAGCCGTCAATCTTGATCATGGGGTCGGGGATAGATGGTTTCGTTGCTTGGTTGGATGGATCCATTCTCAAGTTACAGAGTAAGGGATTCGATTATCTCGTCCCCACAGACGACGCCAAAATGTGAGGGATAAAACGGGAATTAACTCCATATACCCCATACCCCCATCAAAAATTCTCTATTCTCCCTTTATTTTCTTTTTGATTTTTTTTTAAAAATGAAGAAAATAGTCCAAAAGTGGCTAATGACAAAAGGACCCAAAAGAAATTCACCTAATTACCTAACCCGACCATAGTTATCCGGATTCATCCGGATCCAACCCGGTTTGTGAACTAAACGTTGCCGTTTTCGTGTTTAAACTTCTCTTCTCAATTTTTTCATCTTTACTTACAATTAATCTCAATCTCAGATTCTACGAAGAAAGGAAGAACTTGATGAATTGTAGAAGATGATCGGTAAGTATTAGATTCAGCAATCACCATGGATTAGGAAACAGAGATTCTGTCCCGTCTCGCTACAAACCACCTTCACCTAGTTCAGTTTGAGTCGTTGAAGGCTACCTTGCTCGCTCTGAGGGTTCGTAACCCTGACCTCGCACTCACCATTCTCCAGACCATCATCTCAAACGCCGGAAGATTAGAGAATGTCCTCTGGTCGGAACCTTGCTCTTCCTTGTCTCTCCTCGCCTTCCTCTCCGCGATTGAGCTTGCGATTCGATAATCCTACTTCGCCTTGGGGATTCAATTTAGAGACTCTTAGCTTGCGTGCAGATTTCTTGTTGATGATCCACGTTTTGATCGATAGAATTGGGGATGAGCAAAGAGACGAGTTAGGTCATTGCGTACGGATTTTGCAAGGTTTTTTTGGATTTGGGAGTTGAGAGGTTGAAGTTTGATGTTAATGTGAGTAGCAGTGGAGGAAGCTATATGATTGAGGAAGATGAAGTTGTGGCTTTAAGGAGTATATTATTAGATTACTCTGATGTTTTTGATGCTTTATGCTGTAACATAAAGAGGCAACTTAGTGGTTCTGAGAGTTATGTTACAACTTACAACCTTAAGCAGAACGCCTTCATGTCTCACGAGGAGATGATTGGACTTGATCGCAGCAGCAAGGATCTTTTCGTTTGTCCTAAGCCCTGACGTGTCGCTAACCTAATTCGTCCCCTTAGATTACATATGAGGTATAAACAAACAAAAAAAGCATCTTCCTTTCTCAGATTCTACTATGTTTATGACCTAAACACTTACCCTAAAACTCTGTTTTGTTCTCTGTTTTTAGTCACGCTGCTACTGATTTGTGTGATTCTAAAGCTGGTGCAGAGATTTTGGACATCATTCGTAGAAAGGTATGCTTCCTTTAAGAGTAAAATTCGATTAAAATGTATTCACCTTTGACTTTCTCGGATTCATTTGATATGTCTCTCTTTGCAGGAGGACAATGGAGCAATAGGGCAGTTAGTATCGTCATCGCCACCATATTTTCCCGGTTTGCCTCCGAGCAGAGCAGCGAACCCATTAGCCCAAGATGCTCGCTTTCAAGATGAGAATATTAATCAACTCTCGCCTAACTCTCCTTTCCTTCAGACCAATTCATCAACCAGGTTTCCTTCTCCATCTCCTTCATCATCTTCTTTCTTCTCTGTTTCTGTTTTTTTTTATGGTTAAATCTTTTTCTGATTGCTTCCTTCTAATCTCCTCCTCGGGATTACAAATTCTAGACTTTCTAGTTCAGGTATGCTCATTGCTATGGCTTTCTCCTCCTCCATCATTCCAATTACAGCAACTCTCTTACATGGTGATGGTATCGGTCCTGAAATCTCGGAATCTGTCAAACAAGTATCTTTCTTGTAACTTACGCTAACATTTGTCTTGGTCTCTGTTAATGTGTGCATGTGTGTATGATGATCCAGGTGTTCAATGTCGTTGAGGCTCCCATTGAATGGGAAGAACATTATATGTGTACATTAAAAGATCCGAGGACATAGATTTTCCTTATGTATTTACAGTGGGTGCAGACTCCTTTCATGTCGGGGAAGAAGGCGGGGAAGAAGGCGGGGAAGAAGCATAAAACAAAGGTTTAAAAGACTTATGTATAGAGCTCCCTAATGTATGTAGAATGCTAATTTAAGTATGCTTTTGGATTGTTAAAACTCGGTTGAATGCTCTGTTTTTGCTTTTGGATGTTTAAAACTCGGTTGGACGCTTTGTTTTTGCTTTTAGATGTTTAAGACACGTTTGGAAAACTAAATTTATAGGTGTTACTCTGCCCAAAAATGAATTGTTGGGATAACTGGAATTATTGGAATTACTAGGTTTATTGTAATGCAATAAAATTATAGCAAACAAAAATAGAAAACACATGTAAAACGCCTAAATAAATATATATATAAAATGAATTAAAAATGAATTTCACATGTAAAACGTGCAGCCGTCCTATTTAACATGTAAAACGTGCAGCCGTCATATATAGATTAGTATTATATTTTGCACTTAGTAATACACCTAATAATCATCAAGGTTGTAGTAATACTACTATACACATAGTAACATTTTGGCAATTTTCAAGTTAATCTAGTTAAACCATCACAAACATGAAGGTTTTGTAGTAATACCAATGCTCTTACCTAATGAATTTTTTTAAGGAAGACATTTACAAGAAAAAATTACCAGGAATACGTATTTTGAAAAATTCTCCTTACTATACTAGAACCATTCACACAATAACATAGAAAGTTAAGGATGTTTTTTGGGAAACTGATAATCTTTTTTTAAATTATTGAAAATAATGATCAAAAATAGTCTAAATGTAAATATTTATCATAGATATAGTCTACGAATCAAAAATAATCATAAAAATAGTTAAATTTACATCATAAACAATTTAAAACCCACAACTCTAAATTTCACATAATAATACTAATAAAACTAAGTAATCCGAAACAAACATAATAATACAAGTAAGACGGAGTAATCCGAAATACACACATTGATTGCATCAAACATTGGTAGTAAAGTATACATTCTCGCATCCCTAATGATAGCATTAAAAGATTCTGCCGAATTGGTGGTGTCAACGTTGTACCTAACTCCCCGAAAGTAACATCTAGCCCATTTATGCTCTTCAACACTTTTTTCAAGATACGCCGCTGCTTTAGGATACTTCCTGCGAAAAGCATGATAAAGATACTTGAACTCCGCCTTTGTATAAGCGTGTGCACAATCTCTAAACTTGGATGCACAAGCATCTTTGTTGTTATGGACGTGGATTTTAACATTCTGAGACAAATGTCATATACAATACCCATGTTCGGCCTCAGACAAATGTCATACTTATTATTAAGAATAACTCTCACATCATATATCATTATATTACTAATACTAATTCATTTTACTAAAACTATACAATATAGTAATACCAGTAATACTAGTAATACTAGTGGAGGTTGTCTATATAGTAAAACCAGTAATATTAAAAACTATTTTGCCATAGTAATACAGTTGCCTTAGTATACCCAAAAATTTTCATTTACAAAATAATCTTCTTTTTACAGTGACATTGTTCTGATTATACCACTACTATCCGATTTACGACCATTTAAAAAATCCCACTATACTACAGACCCACAGAATCCTCCACAGACAAAGTTTAAACCTTTTTTTTTCAACCTAAACATAATTTTCAAATTTTTTTTCAATCTCTCTGAATTTCTAACTAATCTTCACATTATTAACATACCCATAATATATGCTTTATTTTAATGATATGTTACAAAAGAAATCATCAAAAACAAAGATAAATGAATGCAAAATTCAAAAACACAGTATTTAAAAAACGTTTTAAACTCTCAAAATTTACATCCAAACTTACTTTTTTTAATCACCCATGATAGAAAATAATTCATTTTAATGATATGTTACAAAAGAAATCATCAAAAACAGAGATAAATGAATGCAAAATTCAAAAACACAGTATTTAAAAAATGTTTTAAACTCTCAGAATTTACATCCAAACTTACTTTTTTAATCACCCATGATAGAAACTTCATTTTAATGACGGCATGCAAAAAAAAATCATCAAAAACGGACAAGAATTATCTTTTTTTGAGCTTCAAATTTTCGTCCATGGTGATAGATGGGAGAGGAGACGAGAAGAAGAAGAAAGAGAGAGAGGAGAGTGGTTGAATTCAGAGCATTCTATTGGTTAAAATTGTATGTGGGACCACATTGTTGGTATTAAATTTATGGGATTTGTGGTTGATTTTTAAATGAAGAATTAAATGTAAAAAGAGAGAGAATGAGGCTAGTTTAGGAAATGCAAGGATAAAAGGGTAGGATGAATAAGGTTAGGGTAGTAAGGTTGAGTTTAGGAGGGCATGGGGTATATGGAGTTAAGATCCGGATAAAACTCACTTCCTAATTTAGATCAGGTTTAGATTGGAGAAAAGATAACGTGGGCTGAATCCCGTTAGAACTTAGAGAATGAATTATGATTGTATTGATGTTTTTGGTAAAGAGATGATTACAACGATGATTGTGATGATTACAAGGACTTATGAGAATGTTTAATGAACTAAAATGGGTGTCAATGGTACAATGAATGAATCGAGAGCAGATCCCTTTCTCTGATCTCCTCCTCGTCCTTAAATAGCTCTCAGCCACGTTTGAACGATCCTAACCAACCTCCGAGATTTGCTCCGTGAGTTGGGGGATTCTCAACAGTCTCCTTTTGACCGGTTCCTGCGCAACCAGCCTGAGCTACTCATGTTAGCTCTTTGCAAATGAGGTCCGGAGCTCTCCTCCGTGACCTGTTTTGTTGACGTCCCTTCCTTAGCAAACAGCCTCCGGCTTCTTTTTAACTCTTTTCTCAAAAGATTAATTGTCAGTGGGCTTACAGTGGCCCATAGTCAACTCTTATCGCTAGAGCCCATTAGTCTCAGCTAGCGGGCCATATTTGGGCCCAACACGAGGGAAAATATACAACGAAAATAAAAAAGATGAGTTTCCTTTGAAGGATTCGGATGATCGATAATCCGGGTTGGTTAAAGATTGGTAGATTGACGATGACTTGGAGTATGTCTGGTTTACTAAAATTTCTAGGAGCGAGTCGGTTTTAAGACGACGTCAGCGTCTCTAGCTCCTTCTTTCTTTTAGGAAATCAGTACGTTCGAATGCGTGGCGATCGTTTCTCGGTTGTACGAGAGATTGGATCGGTTTGCGAGTTATGCCTGAATGGTTAGAGAACAACAAATCGAGATAGACAAAAATTGCTTACGACTTAACATGCTAGACTATCCTCTAAATTCTAAGTTCTCTAGGTTTCACGGCAGTTTACAAGATGTTTTCGTTTCTTACCTACGAGAAATTAGAAGTCTAATAAAATTTTCAAATCGGACATACCGTCGTTTCATCGATGATTCGGGATCGTGTATTTTTCATTCTTCGTCTTTTGACTTACCAGTCTTCGACGAATTACCCGCAAGAGTATCGGAGCGGGGAGAAGACTTAACCATCGGAGCTCATGTTCTTGTTTCTTCGTACTGCTGGTTTTATCTGACCGACTAGGTGCGCTTTGTATGTCGAAAAAATCAATCACGTGTTTATGATTGGATGTTTTCGACTTAGCTTGGCAGAGTTTCGTAAAACTGGATTGGGTTTAGAGAGTTCAGATTTCTCGTATAGTTTAGGCAACTTTGGTGTTAAATCAACCGTTGCCGTTTTAGACGATTGATTTGTACTTATACGAAGAAACAAGTCTTTGCGGTTTTATCGTAAAATCCCGATGGAAATTCTGATTGAGACGAAACGAGAATCAGCGCGATCAAGACTCGAGAGAGAAACTCGAGGATTGGTTCAGCTCGACGTAGGGCGAGTCAGGTGAACCCTTTCAGCTCGCCGTGTGGCGATCCGGATGGTAAGAACCCTTGGGGCAAAGTCAGCGCCTCTTGGGCGAGCTAGGCGCTTGGTTCAGCTCTACGTCCGGCGAGCTAAGACGCTTGGTTTAGCTCTACGTTCGGCGAGCTAAGACGCTTGGTTTAGCTCTACGTTCGGCGAGCTAAGACGCTTGGTTTAGCTCTATGTTCGGCGAGCTAAGACGCTTGGTTTAGCTCTACGTTCGGCGAGCTAAGAGGCTTGGTTTAGCTCTATGTTCGGCGAGCTAAGACGCTTAGCGCGGGTGATCTCGATTCGTCGAGTTGACCTTTTTTCGTCGTAGAATCTCAACAGAAAGTCCGATTGAGACAAAACGAAAAGCAGTGCGATTATTGTTTAGAGTACGATCAGGCTCACCATAGCTATGAGTTGGATTGTGCGGACCCTCGGGGAAAAGTCAGTGCCTCTTAGGACGAGGTGGAAAGCCGGTCAGCTCGCCAAGATGGCAAGCTATGTTTCTTGGCCAGCTCACCGTCTTTTCGGCTGGATAGTATTCCCCGGTTCTGCGAGTAGCCTAAGGTTCTTCCGCGAGTAACCTAGGGTTTTGTCGCGAATAACCTAGGGTTTTTCCGCGAGTAACCTAGGGCTTTCTCCGCGAGTAAAGCTAGGGCTTTTTCCGCGAGTAACCTAGGGTTTTTCCGCGAACAACCTAAGATTTTGCCGCGAATAACCTACGGTTTTTCCGGGAGTTAACCTAGGATTTATTTCGCGAGTAACTTACGGTTTGTTCCGCAGTTTCTGGAAGAAAAACACTATGGGGTTTGCTAGATTTTATCGTTACCCTTAGTGATCTAAGATAGGAATCGTGAGCTTGTTTTGTTGCTCTTCCCGTGGCGAAGAGTCGCGATTAGGTTTTTGATTTTGTTGTGCACTACAGCGTTTGCGTGAGCGTTGGCTATAGGAGCAGTCGCTGCTGGAGTTTTTTACCATCGTTTTTGCGAGTTGAGACTTTGTATTTCATATATCACGACATCGTTTTGATCAACCGTTTTGCGGCTATGAGTAAGAGTAATCCGACCCCCCCTCCTTCTAGCGCCAAACTGTGGGAACCAAAATT